AGAACGATTGATACGAGAAGAATGGCAGCGAGGTTCAAGGTGTGAATTCATATTAGAATGAAAAGATTTCATTATAATAAATTTTCAATACGTACTTATTTTTCTTTTATCAGCATCCTTACGTATCTACAAATGGGGAATTTGAACGTATGATAAAGTATTTCGGCTTATTGAAGAATAGATACCGAAGAGATGGATGGGAGGATAAGGGCTATACTAGTTATAACAAAAATCAACGATGTGTGATGACCTTCATCATCGTTTAGGTTTATGGGAAGATGCAGTTGAAGGTTCAATTACGATTGAAGAAAAAATTGTTACGAGTTTCGTCGCTATCAACAACCATACGATCGGTTAAGTTTAAGTTATTACATAAACCATCCTTGCAATGTTTTTCACCTTCTATACCATTTTTTCTATCAGACTAGTGATGTCGATGTTACCCAAGAAAACTGGAATACTGAATCCTAGAAAATAAAAAGAAAACGTTAATATAACGTTCCCTCAAATAAAAATATATAAAAAACATTTCAAATTTTGGAAACTTACCCTCCTGAGCATCATTTCGTTGTTGACTTTATCTACTTCAGCCCATCTTGTTTGTGTAAACACAGTATTCTGAAATCTATTGCGTTCAAAAATCCTGGTTTCTAGAAAAAAAAAAAAGTTTAGTAGGTTAGTATACTATACCTTACAAAAAAGAATTTCAAAAAAAAAATAAATAAAGTCTACATACTCACGTTCCCAAGAATAAACAAGACGGTCATATACACCTATTTGAAAACTTTTTCGAAAGCTTAGCCGGTCTAACGGTCCAAGAGAGTCCGGAAGCTATAAACTATATGATATAATGTATTTCAAGTTGTCAGAAAATTATTTTAAAGAAAAAAATACAGTAAAAAAGGGGTGTTTTAAATAAATAGCGATCCCGATCAATATACTGGACTAAACTATTAGGCATTGGGCGGGTGAAAAATCAAGCATGGATTGACAAAATGTTACACCGTGCCACTTGATATTCATCTGTCCGTGCTTGATATTTAATCTGGTACGTGCTTGATGGTTTTATCCTCTGTGCTTGATATTTTTGTCCGTCTGTGTTGATTTAATCCAACTGTACTCGATAATTTTATCTTTGTCAAAAATTAGTTTCTTTGTTAATTGGCTTTTTTTTATAAACAAATTTGTAGAGAATTTTTATTTTTAATAGGCAAAGGCTTTGTTTGATAGATTTTCTTTGGGAATTTTTTTAATACAAAGATTTGTTTTGATAAAAAATTTTGTTAGAAAATTTTTTTCATTGATAGGGACATTTCTGAGTTTTTTTTTTGATGGATAATTTCGTTAAAAACTTTGACAGGAATTTCATTAGAGAATTTTTTTTTTTGTAGAAAATTATTTGAAGAATTTTTTTAATAGGGAAGATTTTTTTTTT